TTACTAAATAAATGAGCTCCTATTAATAGAAAGCCAGTGTCAATAATATTAAATAGTTATGGCAGAAACTAGTGTATAGTATATCTGACACAAGCTGGCATTTTCTGTGCATTTGTGCCAAATCTGTCGGGGCTCAAGCACTGGAAGCCACCACAGTATTCATGGAGCAAGTGACAGGAGGCTGCACTAAATGGTAGATGTGGACTGTTGGAACCGGTGTCTAATGACCTCATCAGTGTCTACTCAGGTACCAATAAACGCCGGTGCCACCCTTGCCACCTCCTTTGGGAGCCTCAGGTACTTGCTTTTTAGAATCCCTTATTCATAGAGAGCTGTTGGATGGACCGTGAGAAGAAGGCATCTGGTGTGTTTCATGCGTGGGCACAATCGAACCAGAGAGCAACCTAGTCCCCACTTCGCACTTCATAGTCACTGCCATCTTGAGATACAGACCATGACTCAGGACCTCCTAAAATTGTACATTTTGCCAATTGATAGCGTATTGTATGCCCAGGATATTTAAAGACAGAAAAGGAGGGAATGGAGGCAAATAGCACATCTCTCCTGAGGCCTCTGTCAGAGGGGCAACAACAGTGGCCAGACCCTCATTTTGGAAATGAGATATGATAAACCTTGAACCTGGGTCATCTTTATGGCTACCCTGAATAAGTGAGACATCGATCAGAGCACAAAGAGATCTCAGAGGCAAAAGCATGAGCAGCCCCAGGACCCTGCTGATCGACACACACACCACTAATTCACCTCAATGGGAAGGCACCTCTGAGCTCAATTAACCCTTATTCCCAAGGCCACCAATAAACCCCGAGGTAAACACGGCTCTCCAGACCCTGGCTTTCTATCAATGAAATAGGTCATTTCTATTGGAGGCCGAGCTTGTAAATTCACCTTGCTAATCAAGAGCCTGGTGCTCCTGGTGCAAGCAGGCCGGCGGGCGCTAGAATCATGTAGCACTGGTTCTATAATCCAGACAGTTTAAAACCACTGAGGGCGTTTGTGATTTCTTCTGCCTTCCGAGGTGATTTGAAGAAAATATATATGTTCTGGAGGTGGAAGAGGTGATCAGAAATGTCCCCAGTGCAATTGTCTGCTCGCACGTTAGTTGTTAAATATGTACTGGAGGCCGAATGATTTCTCTCTCTCCTATTTTTTTTTTAATTCTTCGCTTCCTTTTTCTTCTCACAGCAGCCATTGTTCAAAAGCAAATTGGAAATCTGGTAATTAGGCCCTGACTCACGGTGTAGCATTAAAGTCCCAAGCCAAAGTTCAACACCCTGAAATGAAATTTAAACCAATTAATCTGTTAGATTTTTATCGCTTGTCCGTGTTTTCTCAGCAATTCCCCCAGCACGTGGCCTTTGATCAACTCTCATACAAACGCTAAAATGTGTGCCTGCTGCTAGCAAGACGGAATGACATTAACATGGTCCTCATAAAACAATCAGAGCAGAGAAGCCCTCAAACAGGGAGGGCATAGTAATATTTAATAAAAGCGCACACATAATCTTCAGAATTAGCATTTTGTGCCTTGCAGTACCTTGGGGAGAAGAGCTTTTATTTGTGGAGTGATCATTATAACAAAGAGGCGCTACCTAATAATTCCCACTTTAATTCTGCAACGTGCCAGGAGCATTTCAGAGCCATTATGCTAAACTGGTGGGGTAATCATGTTATTGTCACAGTTTGAAGGAAGGAAAATCTCTGCTTTGGTGGCTGGTGAGGGGTGGGAGAAGCATTAAAGAAGAAGAAGAGGGAAAACTTTTATTTTTAATGAAATTTAGAACCAGAAATGGGTCTGTTGCCCTTGTGGACGGAATGTGAAAATATGCTGATGGGAAGGAGTCTTTCATTAATTAAACCATGAATTTCCTGCTTTGAAAAGAAAAAAGCATCCTTACTTTCAAATCTGCCCCTTCACTTCCCAAACCGTAATGGTTTTTTTGTTTGTTTTGTTTTGTGAAAGAATGCTATTGATTATCTCAGCTCATTATGGAACTCCTGAAAATCTCTTCACTCTCATATTCTTCTAAATCCAGCCAGTGTGACTGCTAAAACAGCAATCTTTCCCAGATCTTGTGAGGAGATGGCATCAATGAAAGTGAGGCCCTAGCCACTTCCAAGGTTCTGCAGCACCCTTAGACAGCCTACCAATGGGACGGAGGGGGAGGCGAGACCCAGGGATCCTAAGAATCCCAGTTGATGCTAGGTGCTTGGCTCAGTTCTTTTTAGCATTGATTTGCTCTAGAAAGTACAGATGTCTCCACATGTCCTTCTTCACTGAATTTTTTACTCATATATTACCTTAATATATGCTCAGTGGAAAAGCTTCAAGCCATATAAACCTTAATAGAGTTAAAATTAATAGCCATTTTTCCTGTCAAACCCAGTCCAGTCATATCCCCTTTTCATAAGGAGCCACTGTGGATAACTGATAGGCGTCCTGTCTTCTAGACCTTTGTCTAGAACACCTGGGCACATGTCACCTGGAATCATACATACACACAAATACTCATACACATAAAGGCTTATTATACAATTTTTCAAATTAGCTGGAACACTTTTCATTAGTTCGAATTCTTGCTATCTCCTTATTCTCTACTTCCCTCAGGGTTCTCCCTCCTGAATGCAGGAAGACAGTATTCCATTGATTCCTCACTCCTTTAGGGTCCTGCGCTCTCTTCTTCTCCTCCGGCTAGTTGACCTGTAGGTTGGCTTCTGATCAGTTTCTCCTAGTATTTGAAAACATTATCACTTTCCTTAAGTTCAGGTGTTTCTGTGTGTGTGTGTGTGTGTGTGTGTGTGTGTGTGTGTGTGTGCATATAGCTCACCTCCAAACCCCAACCACCCATACATTCACATACATCTACTCCCTACACACACATTCATGCAAATGTACACAAACACGTACACATATGCACACACGCGTTTATACTTTGTAAATAACAAGAGGATAAACAAGGAAAGGAATCGAGTGTAAACTCAACAGGTCTTGACCATATAAGTTCTCCCCAGATTTCTCTTAAATGCTCAAACATGCCCTTCCATGTAATTTTATGCTATGGTAAGGAGTTTGGAAGAGACTTTGTTTGTCTAAACAATTATGTCTGCATCATAAAAAAATAAAAACAGAAACCCCAAAGCTAATAGATGCTAACATGAAGACCGTTTTGAAATCTGCATGGGCAAACATAGCCTCAGCATTTAATGACACTACTGGAGTTCATGCTTTGTAATTAGATAGGATTCTCTACCCAGCTCATCTAAGCCAATATTGAATATTTTTCCAAGACATCTAGAGAGAAAACAACACCTTTTGCATGTGACCCTAGCACCTGGATATATTGAGTTATAAATCAACAAAATGAGATCTGGTGATATTAACAAAATGTTTTCAAAAATGGTTATGTTTTATGAATTTTTCACAGTTAAATTAACTTACATATTTTATAAACAGCTTGAAATCTTACATTGTATAATGTCATTGCTACAGAAGTCTATAACTATGTGTATCAACATTTTAGTTTTCAAGAAAGCTTTTGCATAAGAAAAAGTTCTGTGCCCTTGAGACACTTATGCTCCACCCTGTTTAGGTCAAAAATTGGACAAGAATAAAGTCCAGCCATGGATCCTTTATATTTTCTTGATTAATTGCTTTGTTTGGGGATAAAATGCAGGAAAGTAAATACCCAAGCTGCCCCGTTTCAGCTGCAGATGTGTTCCTGTGAGTTCAGCCAACGCCAAATGTTTGGTTTGGATGTTTTCAAACTTCTCTGTGCAAGGTTTTGAGGATTAATTTGAATCGGAACCAACACCATCCTACTTGTTTGTGTGGTGGCACGTGAACACTGGTCCCACTGGGATTAACTTAATGTTTTCTTTGCTCATTGCAAAAGCTAAAACATGAGACCTTGCCAAATTTGACAAAGTCCAATACTAATTATTATTATTTTTTCAGTACTTCCCACTCACATTTAAAATTAACTGGTGTTCTCCTTGGCATCAGTGCTTGGGAAGTCAGTCTTGAATACTTAATTTTCTTTGAAGAGGATGGATAGTCTCACTCTCTCTTCTTGCATGGCAGTTTGCTGTGGTGCTGTTGTGAAAGTAATAATGAGTATCATAAGGGCAACAGCATGGCACTGATGGCAAAGATCCTTTGTGGCATCAAGCTGCCTTCAGAGAGGTTTCAAAGTCATAATCCTACCACTCCATGTATTTTTAGTAATTCTGCCCAGAATTACTAGGAAAGCCGCCTAACTTGTGCTTACAGTCACAGCCTTTGCAAATGAAGGCCATTTGCAATGGAAAAAGATACCAGTCCTTACATTTCTATGTCCTGGAAACACAACAGAGCCAAGGCCATGAAGACAGTCTGTGGTTCAGCAGGACTACTGCTATTTGTTTGCATAATTTACCCCAAGTAACCCGTGACTTTGAATCTATAAAATGGGACCCACGACATGTATTTGAAAAAAATTTGTAATGATTTTAAACGAGGAATGGTGTTGTATTAATGTTACAGAGAGAAAAACATGGAGAAAGAATTCTTCCTGCTCCAGCCTCCTGCTTGCCTTGTTAGCCACCTCCTATTGGGCAGGAATGTTCACCTAAGAATGTAGACATTTTTCACTTCACCAAATATATTCAACCTTGAAACAATTCTATAAAGCTTCCACAGCATTGGGATCTCTAGCGTTTGATAAATTCAATTTGTCTTCTGCGTTAAATTTCACAAGCATTCAAAATGAATAAAGAGATGGGTGAAATATATGCATCCCAATAGAAGCAATGAAAAGATGCCTTTAAGAACTAAAGTTGCTCCCTGGGTTTCTGGTCCTGATGTGGCTAGGAAATGTTAAGGTCTTGAGGGGCTTTCTGTTAGCGAAAAGATAAAAGATTTTTTTTTCTTTTTCTCAAGTCTTCCATCATTAAAGTTTGGTTCTAACAGCAGACTCCTTCTCTTTTTCATGTGTGTTGAAAAGCAGCTACTCCCTGTATCAAAGCCATCAGCCCGAGTGAAGGATGGACGACGGGAGGCGCGACTGTGATCATCATAGGGGACAATTTCTTTGATGGGTTACAGGTCATATTCGGTACCATGCTGGTCTGGAGTGAGGTAGGTGTTGTCTGAACATTAATATCTAATAGCTTGGTCTAGTTGAAGACACTGTCTATACTTGAATTTCTAATAAAATGTGTAGGATTTAGTGGTACCACTCTGGGTGGCCTACCTCCAGTCTACAGAACTTTGGAAACTAGGAAAGCTGAACTGAGTTTCTCAGGAGGCAATACTTGCAGTTGGAATAATTTCCATCTAACCCATGAGCATGAACAGAGCTGTCTGTTTGGTGGTTTGTCTTCTTGGACTTCTTATAAGTGTGATGGTCCTGTTGTGTAATGGGAAGTGGAAAGACATTCAAACCTTAGCAAGTCAATTATGTATGATATTCTATAGACAGAATCTACTATGGCTTGAACTTCAGAGTCTACTATTCAGGTGACAGTCATAATGTAGGGAGTCCTTGACTTACTTAGAGTCTCTCAGTCAGAGTGAGTCACTAGGGGACCCTGAAGAACCTAAGGTTTTTCCACAGTAAGAGCACACAGTTTTATAGTGTGACTCCCTGCATGTGACCATGACTGTTCTGTATGCAGTGCTTTCAGTATGGGGATAGGACCTGACTGATATGTCTGGCAAATAACTAGCATTTATTTATTTAAGATCTCAGAACATTTCAGGGAGGCCACAATAGACAGCTTGTTATCTGAATTTGGAGCCCAGGTGTCTTAGCCAGAACATTCAAAGTCTTCATTTACCTCAAAGTACAAAATAAAACCCCACTTGCTTTCCAAGTAGTACTACTTGATCGACTTTTTGGAGTCTTGGGATCTAGGGCATGTACTCAGCATTTGAGAGACTGTCCACCCTTCTCTCTGTACTACCAGCAACAAACTCTTAGTTGTAACCTTCTTGATAAGCACCTTGAGCCTTAGAGATAAATGGCCATTGGAGTAAGAGTTGCTAGCAACCCAGAGTCCTCAGGAGGTCCAATGTGTATGTAGCCACACAAAGAAGTGAGAGCCTTGGAGTGGACACCAAGCTTTGTGACTTCCGATCCTACATGTCGTAGCAGGGTGTCACCATTTAGATTGTCTGGAAACCTTTGTTTCCTTCTTTTAGGGGCTGCAGGAATCAGCTGGGAGTTGGCTGTGACAGTAGAGGGCATGTGTTCCTGACTAACACAACCAAAGTGGATTTTGTCCATTTTAAAGCTCCTCACACACTCTTTGCACCAGCAACCACCAGCCCCACATGCCAGTCATTCCTGCCAGCATGCTGCTATAGCCTTGGTTGCCTCACACCCTGGCCAGAGCATTAAAGCTCTTAGGAAGCTGAATCTGAACCAGGCTTATCAGTCCTTCCAACTGTTATCTAAGCTAGAACAAGTGCACTAAATGTCTTGTGCCAGCTGTCCTCCATTTCTCACTGGAAGCATCAGGGTACACATGAAAAGGATCATCCTCATGGCTACCTGGTGTCTTCAGTGTGAAGAGTGGCCTCTATGAGAACAGTCTTTCCCAGGTGTTGGGAGCCACATCTTCAAGCTTTCTGTCACTCTTTCTGTTGCTTATCAGGGAACAGGGGAGTGGGGAAGAATAAATCTAAGGTGGTCCCTTGCTGTGTCATGGCAGCCAGATGGGGACTGGGATGGAAATCAGAATGGACAACCAGTCTCATGGACTAATCCAAGACAGTTTAAAGAAACATGTGCCTGTTACAGCCCAAGCAGGCTCTACTGGAGGGCAGGAAAGGTTATACCAGGAACTCATATTTGTGCCCCAACTTGCCACTACTTTGAAAAGGCAGTGCATCTCACCTTCTCTATTCTCCCATCCTTGTTGGTGAAAAGATAACCAAGGTTAATATCATCTACCTTAGGCTCGTCAAGGCCCATTTCCATATAATGACCTACAGGGAAGGTATGGAAAGCAGAGGCCACAGGAACTGTACATCTATTCTTTTCCTAATTCTGGGTCCCTAATACCATTGTCACACATTGCTCATAGTTGAGGTGGCCTCTAGGAGGAGAGCATCAGAGTATCTGCTGGTTCTTTGCTCTTCTCCTTTTCCAAAGTGTCCTAGGGAGTTATATCCTAAATTAGGTGTTCTGTCTTGGTAGAAACTCACATTGTGACTTCTAAGAGAATTTAGTAGATGTCCTTGTAGAATTAACAAGGTCACATAGTCAGATAGTGCCAGACATTAGATCTGATGCATATAGTGTAATCGTAGAGACATGGATGTCTTCTTAACAAGGACAAATGTAATCTTGAGCAAGGGAACAGGAAGTGGAAGAGCATGGGGGAAATGGGGAGAGTAAGCTGGGCAATGCAGTAGCAGAGTTGCAGTGGTTAACTGTAAAATTTAAAGAAGAGCAAATACAACAAAAATGAAATTATGTGACCATCTTTTGTTCTTGATGGAGAAAAATAAATTACCAGTCAAGTTCAAAGCCATTTGTCAAGGTTTGGGTTGGATAGGATCACAGCACAACATTGTATTTAAGATCCAGTATCCAAGAACAGGCTCTAGGAAAACGCAGTGTAAATAGCTGGCATTCTTGGAGCCCTTGCTTCCAGACAGACAGTATGCCAAGTGTGTGTGATGGCTGTCAGGCAAGCCTGGGGATCACTATGCACAGTGCTGCAGCTCTCTTTCAGGGACTGGAGCAGGAGCTCAGGGAATGTTATAAGTTGGTTCGATACCAAGTTTTCCCATGTTAGAGGTAGACTTGAACTCACAGGTTCACTTGTGGGGCTCACCATCCATCCTGCTTTAACCTGGATCATGGTCTCCATCTGGAGATCTTAACCCCCGAGATTAGGGTGCTGTGCCCAGCCTTGCTAGCACCAACCCATGCCAGGGGAGTTCTACCAGTACCACCATCTTTACCAGTCTGTGGCAGTGGCATGTAAAGTCTCAGAGATGGAAAAGCGAAACCCTTCATCTTTCAGTTATGTGTTTTGGTTGGAGTCACTAAGTTCTAAGGAGACTTTGTCCTCATGAGGGAAAAGACACATGCTATAGTCAAGGAGCAAGACAATTAACCTGTTATGGCCTCTGCTCTAGAATTAGGTCCCTATTTATCCAATGTCTTTATCCATAACCATGTGATTGATGGGCACACCATTTGTAAGATGTAAGGTGTAATCTGAAGTAGGCTATTTTATTTTTTTAAATCATTTCTCCATCTCCCCAATTCCTTAGCCCAGAGCATTGAAGGCTGGTGCACCAGGACAAGCAGATAGTAGTGTAGATTAGCAGTTGATGCTATAATGTGCAGTCTTTTTTTAGCTGAAGAATTAAAAAAAAGGCAGAGAAAATAGGACCAGCTTAATTTACCCTCAAAGGTGTGCTCATCTACCATCTTTTGCAAATGAGTAGTTGAGCTTAGCTCCCTCTGTCCCCTGAGGCTTAGAAGGGGGAGAGGTGGGCCCTGCTTTCTTGTGCACTCACCCTCACAGGATTCCCTCCACTCCATCCTTTTTCCTTTTTGGATGTTTCTTGCCATCTCCCCTATCCTTCTTTTCAGTCAATTATTTTACTGATATTCTTAAGGTCTTCACTGTGTCTTACCCCCAATTACTTTGAAGAAAATACATAGTGCTGTTTTATATATAAGTGGAGGAAAACCACCAGGGTTGATGAGAGCTAATGCTGAATGTGGGTGAGGTTTTTTTTTTTTTCTTTTCTTGACCAGAAATGTGCTTGGTTGTTTTGCTTTACCACCCACGTGGCATGTGAAGCATGGAGGGGCTTGGGCTACTGTTTCGTACAGCTCATCATCATTTCAGTATCTCTTCTGAATTCCTTCAATTTCTAAACTCATTGTTTAGAAATTGGCTTGCCTGGTGGTTGTCTAACACTGGGATAGGTACCCTGGGCAATTAAAGTCAGCCTTTTGTGGGATCTGGTGTTTTACTTGGAAAGACAACTTGCTCCCATGAAACAAATTAGAGAGTTGCATAACATTTATATAATCTAGTATTAAATTTGTGGCTTGCAATTCATGGAAAGGTTCTAGAAGACAGGGAGTAGAAGAGTCAGAGGGAGATAGTTCAGAAAACCAATCAAGTTCCAATTATTTTTGGATGGCTCTGTGGTAGATATTTTAGGCTTTCACAATCCTTTTATTTAATCGCAGAAATAGCAAAGAGGATGCATACTATGGTATTTAATTGGCCTTTTTAAAAAAAAGTGTAATATTGAGATTGGGGAAGCAGCAGAATATAATCTAGGCAATGGTATAGATTATAGGGTCAGTGGTGGGCAAAAAAGGCAAGACTGGGCAGTTACTCTAGTCTTGTTGCTCAAAAAATAGAGAGTTATTATTCAGTGGTGGTGACTGGGCCTCAGTTTTCCCATCTGGAAATGAAGCATCTAGGCTGCATTTTCTTTAAAATCAATCATACAGTACCTTTTCTCTAGAATATTTTCCCCAGAATTCCCACCCCCACCAGAGTCTGAAGTGGGCAGAGAGGTGGGTAGAAGACTCTTTGTTCTTTCCTTTGGACCACACCTGGCAGTAGACAAATACCAAGGCCACCTGCAAAAGCATTCTTAGAACATCACCAAAATAATTTTATTAGTCACAGAACTGGTTCTCCCTATTGCATCCCCAGTTAGCTCTTTTTCACGTTCAAGTTCTTAGGCTATAGTATTTGCTACAAACAGGAAGTATATACGACAGCACCTTCCAGAGAGTCACATGGAGTGTTGGTTTTTAGGGAGATTAATAGATGTCCCATGCCAGATGAGAGAATGAAATTCTTTTTACTCCATTAACTATGGTAAATATTGAACAAAACACATTCAACTTATCCTTGTATAACTTTTAAGGCCCCCATCATGCCCTGAATCCCTAGGATTCAGTGTTTAACATGTCACAAATTTCTGTAGCTGCAGAACCCTTGTTCTTAGGGATCACCTTACAGAAAAGATATTGTAAGGGCTGACATGCATTTTGATTTTATGCTAATGAAGCCAAGTTATGAAATTCAATGGTGAAAGTGATGGGGTCAGTAAAGATGTGAGAAAATCGCCTGAAATATTTG